TATATATATATATAATTATGATGCCAATCAGGATTTTTCCCTTAAAAAGATCTCTGTAAAAACGAGGAACTGAAAAATTGGAACTGATAAAATCTTGGCAAAAAATAAATAAAATTTAACTAAATTAAAGAAGAAGGTATTGATTAAATAGGACTAATGCTCTGTTGTTCAAAAGACTTCAAATCCAGGCACAAATCAAAGTTTATTCAAATTAGAACTGACTGAATTTGATCAACACAAAACAGATTGATGTTTTTACATTAGGTTTTGTGTTTTATTGTAATTTGGTAAAGTATTAGATCGTATAATGTTTTTATCTAACGTCATATTTCCCCATAATTAAACAAATGTTAAGGATGTTAAAAGGCGGAATTAAAACGTCTCGATGAGACGCTACTTCCTGCCACGTAACGGCGCATGCGCAGCTGCAGAACCAGTCATTTGGCGACGTGTACCCGGTCTGTGTGTGAAAGTGTTCAGGTGTCTCGTCTCTGCTGTGGGAACAGTTCGTCAGAAAAAGACTCTACAACCTCCGAACAGCCGAACCATGGGCGGTTCGCAGAGCGTGGAGATACCGGGGGGAGGCTCGGAGGGCTACCACGTCCTGCGTGTGAGTTTGAAGCATCTGTAGCCTGTTAGCTTAGCATCCGGCGGGACGCTGACACTTCCCGGATCAGTGTTGACGAGAGGCCGAGGTTTACTGCTGCGGCCTCCGTGTCAGGGGAGTCTTGTCTGTTATACATTCAGTTATATATGGGGTTTTTTAGTGGATCTCTGCTTGTAGGCTACTTGTACCCTTCCTGGAAGCTAAAGCATCATGTTTTAAACTGAGTCTGCAGAATGACAGCTGCCGAGCTGAGTTCAGTTTTATAAACAGTTTTAGACGCAGCTCCTGAACTTCTGACTGTTTGTTAGAGTCTCAGCAACTTGATAAATATTAGAGATTACTTTAACTGAAACAAATTGATGCTAGTTTTTATCTAGTAGCCAGTTTAAGTTGTACTGGTTATGTTTTAGACAACACAAATGTTAAGTGACTGGCCCATTTCAGTTACCTAAAATCCCATTTGACAGATTTGTTTATCTTAAACTGTGATATAATGAGCTTTGACTTTCTAATGTGTTCCTCTATTCGTCAATATGCTTTATTGACAAAAGAATATGCAAAAAAGTTAGCATGGCTCAGTTTGTACCTGATCTTTGGTGCAGGTTCAGGAGAACTCACCTGGACACCGTGCAGGACTGGAACCATTCTTTGACTTCATTGTCTCCATCAATCACACCAGACTGGTAAGACATCAAACAGAGGACATGATGCGGGACAAATCTTGATCCATGTCCAACTCCTCTCTGCCTGCTTTTCCTCCCCGTCCTGTTTGACTACAGAACAAGGACAACGACACCTTGAAGGACTTGCTCAAAGCCAGTGTGGAGAAACCAGTGAAGATGCTGGTTTACTCCTCAAAGACTCTGGAACTGCGTGAGACCACTGTGACGCCCAGCAACTTGTGGGGGGGCCAGGGCTTGCTCGGTGTCTCCATTCGCTTTTGCAGCTTTGAAGGAGCCAATGAAAATGTTTGGCATGTGCTGGTAGGTAGTCACAGGGGTCCATCTGTATTTTATTGTTTCTGTTTATGATTCAACTCATGTTTATTTTCCCTTTGAACCAGGAAGTGGAGCCGAACTCCCCTGCAGCCCTCGCTGGCCTGCGGCCACACACGGACTACATCATTGGAGCCGACACCGTCATGAATGAGGTTGGTTATCAGGACTTTAAGTTCTTCCTCCTGTTGTCTATCTTTAGCTTTGAGTCTGTATGCAACTACTCTGCATTATGTGCTCTAACTTCTCCTTTTTTTTACTTTATTCATTTTCTTTAAAAATAATAAAATAAATTTATATACAATATAAATACAAATCACAAATAAAATGAAAGGCAGCAGAAAGA